TATGGGCCAGTTCGGGGAGACATAAATTGGGTACGCAGGGCTCTCGACTGGGCCCAGAAGCTGAGCAACCACACCATCCTCGTCGGGGACCTCAATTGGGTTTCTAGATATTCTAGACTGGCGGGCCCTGGGTGGCCTATTACATCAAACACGTGCCCTACCACGACAGCCGGCACGTCGCGGTCCAGATGCTTGAGATGGATGGCCGAAGAAAGTGAACCCCCCAAGCACATAGGCACCCACTTCATCGAGGGCATACCGCACCACGGCATGTGTATCTTTGAGGTGTCCCAGTGTCCTGTACAGCAACGTCCTCTCACACGCCTTCGGCACACGGCCCTGTTCGAGGAGGCCGCCATCGCGTTTGTAAACGAGCCTGAGCAGCAGCAGATCGAGCGAGCATGCGACTCGATGATCCCGAAGCCTCGACTCGATATCGGTATATCGACGAAATGGAAAGTATGGCATGCCAGAGCTGAGCACGCATTAGAAGAAGCAGCAGTTCGGGGATGGGTTAAAGTAGCACGTGCAGCTGAACGGGATAAGGGAACATATCCTACCGCCAAACCCTGTGCTCATCCCCCCGCCCATTGCCTTGCTGAATCGGTCGCTCTCAGACGATTGCGCCGACTACATAGAGCCTGTTTGCATCAAGTCCGTGGCCAGCAGGGTGCTGGCGCTCGTCTCGATCTGAGGCACATGAGCGCCTACACTGCGGCAGTGCAGGACAAGTTGATTCGGCATCTTGACGGGTGGCCATCGTACGGTCAGCTGCTGGATGTAGTCAGTCGAGCCATCACGTATGAGGAGCGTCTGGTGGCCGATGAGAAGCGCAAGCACTGGGGAGCTCGGTTTCGGGAATGGTCCAACGACCTCTGGAAGCTTGCCACACCGGTGTTCAAAGCGGGGGCCCCCAGCCCTGGGTTCGACAGCGAGGGGATGAGGGCCGAGTGGGAGCCCGTCTGGAAGCCCGAGTCGTACGAGAGCCAGAACAAAGTACTAAACTGGAATCACCGATTACGCCCAGATACACCTTGAGTATATCGACCACAACGCTGAATGGGGAGTTTGTCTGCGGGTCCCTCCTGGTGCTGACCCTCGAGTGCTCCGTGTGACTGCCCAAGTACGTGACCCCCAGGATAAGTTCTGGACTGAGGCCCCAGGTGGGGCCCATGCTGTACGTGCCGTAGCCCGAGTGGCTTGTCTGCGTGCAGTACATCTTACGAGAAGAGACGTTGAGGGCATCGAGGATGTTGATGTCGATCTGAGTAGTTGCCAGATATTCAAGAAATACATCAAAAGCTTGAGTGCGGATGAATTGCATAGTGTGACGATTTTTCGGAGCGGTGCAGGGCAGACGTACACCAGAATGCAGGTGAACAAATGTTGTAAGTGGTGCAGCTGCCCGCTCCCGAGCCTCCGCCACCTTTTCCAGGAGTGCCCGCACTTCGAGGATTTGAGGAAAGAGCTGGCTCGTGAGCTGAAGTTGAGTAGTACGTTTTGGGCCTCGGTGCCCAGAGTTACGAGCAAGAGTGGCTGGGTGTGTTACTCAGCCGCGCCGAGCACTGAGGAGAGATCCCGCATGCTGGTGGCATCCGTCAGATTGGGTGCGTACATCGTGCGGGAGAATTTCACGCCCACCGAGCGGATCAAGCCGATCCGCTAGCGGTATTCATGAGGGCCGAGCACTTTGGCATGCTGGTCCTTGCACTACCTTTCTTTGGTTCAGCTGCCATGCCGGCACAGTTTTCACAACATCTGCGCCGCGCGCTGGCTGTCGCAGAACGACCGCCACACCTGCCCGCTCTGCATACGACCCATTTTCGAGTCCAGCGGAGCCGACTAGCTCGCAGCCATCGTGCCGGCGCACGGGGGCAGCGTTGCCCGCCTCGTGCCTGGCCTCGGCCCCGTCGGGGCTGTGCCGCCGAGCTGTGTGTTAGTCTCATGGCTTCCTCTTTTTGTTCTCTCTCTATCTCTCTCTTTAGGTATTCTGCTCCCTGCCCCCCCCCTCCCTGTCTTCCTGCGCCTCCTCGTCTTGAACCTTTTGTCTTCCCTCGCGCTCTTGGCAGCTGGATAGCTGCCTCGAGGGAGGGGGCCATGGAGTACTCAGCTGTACCTGCCTTGAACCAGCACGCCGTTCATTCTCCTCTCTCTTTTGCTCCGCTCGCCTGATCAGGCCCCGCTCCGCCTCCCCGGCGTGCTTAGCTAAGCGGGGGGGGGTCGCTTCCTCCGCCGACAACGCTGGGCCGACTTCAGGGGGGTACCTTTCCCACGCTTATCATCGAACGCAGGAACTCAAGACTCCTTACGGGACGCGCGAATCTCGATCTTCTTGTTTAGTGTCTGCCACGACGGGCGTCTCCATCATGCCGTGCTTGGCCGACGGCCGTGGAACGCCTGACCTGGCAACGGCATCGGGTAATACGTTTCCATTTTTTAGTGCTGCCCGGCAGTCACATTATGAAAATGTGTCATGCCAGTTTTTACCAACAACATTCTCGGCCTCGTGTATGGCGGGGGGGTATGCAAGGGTAGGGGCATGATGAGAGGCATATCAGGGGGAGCGGAACGGGGGGGGGGATCCAGGGTCCATGGCACCATGCGCAGTTAAACCTTGCGATTGCAGCGCGGGTGTTGGAGACGGAGTAGAGACGTCCTGTCGCCAAATGGGGGTGTGAGATTAGATTGCGCATGGAATCAGCCAGTTAGTCTTAAACACCCCTGGCGCTGGATGGACTGTTGAGTGCCGAAGGCCGAACTTCCCTTCCATTCTCCATGTGCTCGTCAAGCCAGTATCATACAGCTCGAGAGCACCATCCGTGGTGAGCCGAGCAGGCCTCCAGGGCTCCTGTGGACTCGGAGCGCTCTGATGGCTCTCTGGGGTCGTCCCGGAGGCCATCGCCGGGTCCGAGCAATTCACCAGATCGTGAAATCCCGCAGAGGCAAAAAGGAAACCGTAGCAACAATGACGCCTGCTTTTCGATTCCGTGTTCCATTGTTCGGAGCCTCCCAGGAGCGGGTGTTCAGCCGTCTTGGGCCGTCGGTGAAATCTATCAGTCTAGTTTGGACCATGTCGGGGCCATCACTGGGCAATCTTGGGGCCATATTGAGGCCATCTTGGGGCGATCTTGGGGTTATCGGCGCGGCCTTGGGGCGCTTTCGCCCAGTCCGCAGACCCCCCAGGGCGGCCTTCGCGTGCGCGGACTAGATCTTTAACCTCTCCGACCTGAGTTACCCGTGTGGAGGATCTAACACGCTTGTGGCCCGTTGGGCCAGCAATTTCTTTGTTGGAGAAGACAGGAGAGAGTGGACGTCGTGCAGCAGCAGCCTCTCATTGGTTGCGCAGGGCGCTGTAGATGCCTCGAAGGGGGCCGCGACGTCCCCACTTTTGATTGATGCTGGTTCGAACGACGGAAGCAGGCTTGGTCCGAGCTGCTGGCCTGGGAGGGGGGCGAAGTTGCCGTCTCTAAGCACGTAGCCATTCCCGCCCGTATGCTGCAGAAATCGTTGGCAGATCTGAGAGCTAGGGATGGGAGTGCTTTGACGAATACCCGTTGGTTGGTTGATAACGCATCTCCACCCTAAGTTTTCAGAATTGGCAGACGGATCCTTGGTGGCGGAGTGGGCGTGGTTAGGTGACCAGTCAAGCGGGATCAAAGCGCGCTCGCCTCTTTCTCAGGGGCGCCTTCGAGGAAGCGCCCGTCGAGCGCCCTCGGACTCCCCTAGAACTTCAAGAATCCTGCAGAACCCTTCAAAGTGAAATCAGCTCAGTAGAGCCTCCGTTTCCCCCCCGCCGCCCCGGGGGTGCCAGCTCCGAGGGTCGTGGCGGCCTTTGCTCCGTGCAGCCGCTGCCTGGGCTGGTGTCTGAAGATGACGCCCGTGCGTGTGCTCTGGCAGAGCCTGACTCTAGGCCTCCCAGATGGGGTCGGAGTAGATCGGGTCGGACGATCGCTCCGCATCGCCGATGCATCGGCGATGCGGCTTGATATGGGGCCCGATTTGCGTCACGTCGACGTCATCGATGCATCGCCGACATCGACGATGAGTCGCCAGTGCATCGACGATGCATCGCCTGTGCATCGTCAATGCATCGCCGATTCATCGGCGATCTGGTGCGACCCTCCGACCCCATCTACTCGGACCCCATCTAGGAGGCCTTTGTAGTGACGCGCGCAGGAATGTCTCGGTGTCTGGTCTGCCCATGGGGGGCACGCTCCCCGCAGCAGCGCACCGCTCCAGGGGGCACCTTCCGACCCAGTCGGTTGTCAGTTGCGACAGGATCGCGAAGACATGTTTGTGCTCCTCTGCGGCCTGAGGGGGCGGGGCCCTCGCCAGTCCCCGGGGCCCTAACAGAGAAGCAGCTCAGGATGAAAACCCGGTCCCCGGGACAGGGCCCAGACCTGTGGGGAGCCTCGCTGTGAAACATCACGAGCTCGGATGTCTGGGTCCTGTGATCGTGATCGGTGTGCTGCCCCGTGGTGCGCGACAGCCTCGCGCCCGCGCGCGGCAAGCTTCGCGCCTGGATCTCGCCCGTACCGTCCTGCTCGGCTGAGCCTCGTGCATTTTCTCGGCATGCCCACGGCCGGATGCAGTGCGCCCACACCGCTCACCCGGCGTCCCACCCTGAACCACCGACCAACCCACCCCAACCCAACCCGAAGGCCCCGATTCGCCCTCCATTTCCAGTGGGTGGGGTGTCGGGGAACATGGAAAAAACACACACATGAAGTCCGTACCCCCCCCCAACCCGAAATTCGGATCTTCGGGTTGGGTTGGGGTGGTTTGGTAGGTACTCCAGATTTCGTAATAAAAGGGAGGGGGTCTCAACCCTCCCACACGAGAAGTTTTAGACCCCCCTCCGTGGGAGAACCCTCCAAAACATCGTCCCCAGACCCCCCCCGGGCCCTCCAAGATGGCCTGGAAGAGACCCCCCCCGAAATGAGACCCCCCTCCCTTTATTACGAAATCTGGAGTAGTCAATCCCTGCGGTTCCTCGGCAGGGGACTTCCACCCGCTGGTCGAGTCCAAGCTGGCCATCGGCATGCTGCTGCCGATGGTGGTCGCCACGACACTGGCACTTCGTCGCTTCTCCTGCGCTCTCTGCTTACCTGCCAGCCCGCGGCTGCAGTCTGAGAGGAGGAGGAAGAATCGGGGGAGCGTAAGACCCGGGTTTGCCAGGACTCGGGTTCGCCATCGTTTTTTGACGACCGCGCCTCGGATTTTGACGAGGAGGAGTTTCGTGGGATCAGCGGGAGGCCTCGTCAAAATGCAGGCTCGGCCTCGTCATTTTTTTGACGACCTCGTCGGGTATTTCCGAGTCCCCTGTACCCAGGTCTCACGTCCTCCTGAAAGAAGAAGAAGAGGAATAACAATAATACGATTCAGCATAATAAGAATGATAATGAGAGTATGATTAAGAAACAATATAGTACCAAACATACTGAGAAGAAAAAGCATACGAGGAATAGTAATACTAATGATAGTAAGGCGAAGCGTAATCAGAACACGACTAATCATAATAATACGCATCGTCATGATAATAATGATATGAAACAAAATACCAAGACGAATACGAAGACGAAACATAGTATGACGAACAATAATAATTATAACAATACTAAGCACGAATATTACAACTCAACTTAAACTAATAATGCTACTTATATGACTAAGTGGAATACTAATGATACTAACATTAGTACTATTGCGAAGCATACTACTACGAATATTAATATCCAGAAGAAAAGTATCACTTCTAGTAATAATGCGAAGAGACGTAGTAATAATACAAAGAATAAGAAGATGACACATAATAATTCTAATGAGAAAAAGAAGAAGAGGATGATGATGATGAGGAGGAGGAGGAGGAGGCTGCGTACCTGGACTGCTGGAGCCATCTCGGGTTCCCATGGGGGCGCTTTTGGGAGCACCTGGGGAGGCTCCCTTGGCTCCCTTCGGGAGCCTTCCGGGCCCTCTCTGGGCCATCCTGGAGGGTGGCTGGGCGGGCGTGTCCTCTATTCCCCCCCCCCCATCTTAGGAGCCTCTTCTTGGCTTCTCGTGGGACTCTTCTGGGGCGCTCCAAGCGGGCCTGTGGTGCCCGCTTGGATTCTTGGGGCCCTCTCGGGCCATCTCGAGGCCATATTGGGGCTTCAGAGGTCCATGGGAAGCCGAACATGTGAGAAGGCGGCGCAAGTCACTGGATGCTTATATTTTTTCCAACAGACGCCACCTCGGTCATCTTGCGGCCTTCTTGGTGTCTCTTGAACCCGTCTGGGGTCAATTCTGGATCCATCTAGGGCCAACCTGGACGTTTTACGTAACAGCTGGTGACCCTCCCAGTCCAGACACCGGGAGGGAAGGGTAGGCGGAGGGGTAAACCTTACCCGAATGAGAATCATGGGCTCGTTCGGACGAGGATGGACTACACGCAGAGAGCCAGTTGGACACCTGTCGTGAAGTTTTTTGTTGAGGTTTTGCTTTTTCGCTAGCTGCTGGTATTGTGAAGGCCTTACGGCCGGTGCCGCCGACCCAGAAGTACGGCGACGACGACCACGACGACGACCACGCTTGCAACGACAACGACGAGCTGATGACCCTGCCACAGGCTCGGGGCATGGGCGAGCGGTGAAGGGAGGAGGAGCAGCAGGAGGAGGGAGGTGGAGGAGGAGGAGGAGGAGGAGGAAGATTAGGAGGAGGGGGAGGAGGACCAGTGTAAACCCAAGACTCATCAACGATGTTGGAATAACCCCTCCCTCCAAGCTCCCTCTTCACAAGCCCCCAGAAATGTTCATTTCACTCAGGGAACGGCCTCGTTTGGAGACAACCGTTTGAAGATCCTGAATCGTGCCAAATCACCATTCCCAGGACTCGAATGCCACGAATCAACGTCTTGACGATCTGGAATCGCGCCAGAACACCATTCTAAATTCTGCGCCCTCGCAATCCTGAGTCTTTCCAACAGATAATGTCTGGCACGTTGACCATGGGAATCCGTGAAACTCTTGCAAACGTTTAAGACGAGTGAACGCGGCGCTAAGGCGAGAGCCACATTTTCAAAAGGAGCCGCCCTCAATCCGTGAAGCTCTTGCAATTTGTAAGACGAATGTGCGCGCCACTAAGGCGAGAGCCACACTTGAACACGGACCCACCCCCGATCCGTACACCCCTCGCATTTTCTCGGCGACTGCGCGCGCCGCCGAGGCGAGAGCCGCAGTCGAAAACGCCCCGCCCTCGGTCCGTGAAGCTCCTGCGGAAGCTCCTGCGGAGGTTCGACCGAGTGTGCCTGGCGAGAGCGGCCCGCCCTCAATCCGCGAGGCTCCAACGAGTGCGCGCGGCGCCACGGCGAGAGCAGCGCCGTGACCACGGCCCGCCCTCCGCCCGTGGAGCCCGGCATTCCATGGGCGTGCGGCCGCTGTGCTCGCCGCCGCGGCGAGAGCCACGTCTTGAAAGCGACCCGCCCTCCGCGTGGCAAAGCTGTTGCATTGTCTGACGCTTCTCCTCCTCCTCCTCCTTTTTTTTTCTTGGTCGAGCTCGGAGCGGTCCAGCCGCTGAAGCGTCAGTGTGCTCGGCAGTCAGCGCCCCCGACTGCCGAGCGATGCAAGGGTGCAGAGGCCTCGACCTTCCCCGTGGCCGACAGCTCGCGCATGAAGCGCTGCAAGGAGCATGCACTCTCGGCGCCCGTCGAGCGTTGCCTTCCTGACCGAAGTACACCCACAACATCCCCGCCCTCCTCCCAACCAAGTGCTCGGGCGGGCGCACGAGCCAGCATTGTAGCCGTCGATTGACGACAACCGCAGGAGCAAGGAAGAGATGAGGAGGTCAAATTACATCATGACGGGGTGGAGAAGGAAAAGGTGACTCGCCCCTGGTAGCACGCCGCCAGGACGACGAGTCACGAGCTCAAAAGCAGAAGTCTGGGGGACGGGGAGGCTTGGGGTGGCGCTCGACGGTTTATTTCGCCCGCCTTACCACTTGCGCCTCCCGTGCCCTCCCCGTCCCCTAAAGGAGAAGAACAGCACAATCTCCCCCTTGGTCGGCCCCTCAATAGTTCAACTACTCCGCAGTAGCGCTGAGCACGAGTACGACCTTCGTACACGAGGGGCCGCCAAGGGGGAGGACGCATTCAAGTACTCCTCCTCCACCAAAATCCACTCAACCGACTCCTCCTCCAACTTATTGTCGCCCAGGGCGACTAGACGGGCGGTAGCCTCGCGAGGCTCCTCTCAGCCTGCAGGCTGGGCAAAGCACACAGAACTGATCATCCCGCACCTACACAATCGCTCCAAAGCAAACCTATAGGTTCCTGCGAAGACTCGCCGACAAGGTCATGAAGAAGCGGGCCCTTCTGAAGGCCCGCCCAATCAGAACACCAACCGTTCGTGGAAGTTCAGCACATTGACTATGTTGTCCATGGTATACGTGGCAGCAACGTTCGGGCCCATGATGACGCAGCTCTATCTGATAGTCGCAATGTGTATGAATAATTATCATCTCTCTAGATTCTGTAGCGCCGAACATACAAGTGTCAATCTCAATGTGGCCCACTCGGGCCCCAATAGTCTCGAAGTCTGGCATGAAGTTCTTCATATTGTCGTACACCTTGCGCTCCGCTAAGACCGCCACAGGAACGCCAGCCATAGTACCTGCTTGCAGTAGCCTCCACGCCGACCTCACCTGAGAATTGTCGCCAGCATAGTTCTGTCGGCGTTGGGGAGGCAATCGTCGGATACCCCAAGGTTCAGTCTGAGTACGCCCTTGGTCAGGTCCAACTCCGAGCCACGTTCTCCCACTGAGATGAATTAGAATAACACCTACGTGACCTGACTGCATCCGAGTAACGATCGTCCTCATCTGCGCCTCTTGTAGTCCAACCACCGTGCACTCCTCGTCACGTCCAGAATATGTTTCAATATCAAGGCCACATGCCTGATGAAGCGCATCTGAGAATTCTGCGTCGCCCTCGGCTTGAAAAACATTAAGCAGTACCATTGTACTGGGGTCGCCAGTCTCAATACGTCGAATTGCATTGGGTACCTCACGTACTGGTAGCCATACTTCAGGGACTTTGATAGGAACCAGCCTGTCACCCTTGCCCCCAAGAAGATCTCCGTGGCGAGCCCGTTGTCTAGCAACCCTGTAATTGAACCCTTGCTGGACTTGCTTCCGCTCACGTCGTAGATCCTCCTGCCGCAGAAGTTCAGCTTCATCAGTGGAAAGAAGGTCCCCGTTGTCCAAGAGCCATGAAATACACCTATTGCCTCGTCTGCGTAAGTGCCGTAACAAGTTGGAGCGATCCCCGAAGGCTGTGCCACAAGCTCCACACTGCGTACCTCGTGCTACCAGCTGGGCTCCATCAATCGGCTGATGGTCCAAGAAGTGTTTGCGCCAGGCAGACTCCTTCGAACACACCCATCCACAAGTATAGCACACGAATTTCTTCTCCAAGTCCGTGCTGACCGCCGGCGCCAGCTGAGCGTTGAGACTTCGTTCTGCAATTTGCATTTGGGCATTCTCAAGTTCTCTATACACGTGATACTCCCATGCAGTCTTGACTTCATTCAAACAACTCTTCGTGTTCAACCTGGCGTACTGGAACCACTGCTGCACCGTCCAAGCTGAGCGAGCTCTGTCCTTGCTGTAACTATCAAGCCATTCCAAGTCATCACGAAGTAGTGAGACCCAGGATCCCCGTTCGCCAGCCAATTGGTCAAGGAGAAGCCATAGGACAACAGGAGCCTGCAAAAACATCTTCCCAAAGTGCATTAACCTCTTCTTGCGAATAATATCTCGTAGATGCAGTCTCCTCGCAGCACCTAAGACTTGTTCGCCGTTGTAGGAGCTAGTAGTCTGGCGATGATGCTGCAGACCTTGTGCCACGCGATATGTCGCGATTCGAGGTGTCTCCAACCGTTGCAAGAGTGACTCACTAAGTGCCGTCCATGTCTCGGCCAAATAAGTAAGATGCACATTGGCCAAGGTGTCAACTCGATTCGTTTTCGCTGGCCTCGTCATACCCCCAAATTTCGAAATCATCTTCTTAACAGGCATGGCCGCTATCTTCTGCTTCTGCACAAG